GAGCAAAAAATAAGAAAACAGGGTATATTAAGTTTGTCACGATGTTTTTAACATCCAAAAAGAAACGTCGGAGACTATAATATATATCTGAAAGATTAGCATGGTGAGCAAAGTATTCCCTCTCCACAAGAAGCTGCTCAATTGTCCGAATCGTGATATCAGACCACTATATCATATAGCTGCCATACAAACTGAACGAACGGAATCAAGTGCTTGTATGGAAAACTTTTTCATTTGACACATGAAATTTGGCATGTAATATTGCCCAAAGATTGGAATCAAATCCTTTTATGGAAATATTTTGCATTTGACGAGAATATTTCTGTACCAAAAGATTATTTTCTAAGGCAACGCTACAATACCTGAAAAAACTATTTTGATCAGACTACTATAGCATATAGCTGCCATACAAACTGAACAGTATGACAGTTTTCAAGTCAATCGGGTCTACATAACCGGAACGCACCCGGATTTTTATCCTGCCTTTGACAGTCCTTAGTCAACTCGGCAGCATTCCTAAAAATTACTTGAGGGTTATATTCTGCCGCTACAACAACAACAACAAGTCCCTGTATGGAAATATTTTGTATTTGACGAGATATCTTTACGAAATTTGGTATTGATTATTTTCTAGGACAACGCAATAATACCTGAAGAATTTTTCTAGATCGGACTTCTATATCATATTGCTGTTATAAAAACTGAACGATCAAATCCAGTTCTTGTATGGAAACTTCGTTATTTGTGAAGGGTATTCCAGTTACGGTGCAACCGAAATTAATAATTTTCTTGTTTCTCTTCGCTTTCCCTCCATTACTACCAAAACCGCAAAATGTTTAATAGTCTATAAGTTTATTAAGATTACTTTTACTATACAATAACTAGAATTGAAACGAGATGAGCCTACACTTGTAACGCACTTGGTGCGACAACAAAAGGTACCGTTATCTATAGCGTCGCCTGTCTGTGTGGCATGATTATAGCATATTAGCATCTTACCTTATTCAAAACTATAGTATACCTTACCATATATTTTTAATTTCAGCAATGATTCTTAAGATTTAAAACAGTAAACATTTATTTTGCAAAGAAAAAAAGCATTAAATTCAGTCGAAAGCAATTTGTCGACCTTACATTTTTAGATAACTTCTAAATTTTTGGAAAATATCTAATTCTAAATAATTTAAAAAAAAAAGTTAACATCGTCTGCACCAAAGATATAATACCCTTCGCAGGTGCATTTCTTATAACAAAAAAGAGTATAAAAACATCTTAATTTTGATTGGTCAGATTGCGTATCAGCTATACGCTATAATTGTCCGATCTGAAGAATTTCTTCGGATATTATACTATTGGACAATAATCTATGCCAAATTTCGAGAAGATACCTCTTCAAATAAAAAAGTTTTCCATACAAGGACGTGTATTTGATCGTTCAGTTTGTATGACAGCGATCTTGGAGGGAATATGACGCGTGTAAAATTTCAGATCGATCAAAAACTGAGGGACTAGTTCGCGTATATACAGACGGACAAACGGCTAATCGACTCAGCTCATTATGCTGATCATTTATATGTACATACAATAGTTAATAGGGTTTGCGACGTTTCCTTGGGGATGTTACAAACATCGTGACAAACTTGATATACCCTGTACAGGGTATAATTAAGACATATAAGATTGCTTTACTAGCCTTTTAATACTACTGTATTATACCTAACACAGAACACAATATTAGACACTTCTCAACGTTTGCAATATTATGTATTGTATAAGTAAGAGTACATTGGCAATTAATATGTTTGGCAACCCGCCTTGGTACACCACGTCGTATGATGCATGTTACTCAAAAGTAAAAGAGTTTGAAATAAGTAGGAAGTGCTCTTTTAAATATGTTTCATATTTATTATAATATTTTAAACATATTCTTAGCAGCATTAGGGCATATTAATCGTGAGCACTATTTAGAAGCATATTCATAATAAAAAAAGGCCGTAGTATTATTAGTATAGCATATTCGTTATTTGTGTGTTTAGAGCGATATAATGAACTCGATTGCAATAGTTTCAGCTGGAAAATAACATTATGACCAGGATAACGTTTGTAGATATTTTCAGTGAAATCTCTTAGATATAGGAGGGCGTTTCATAAACAATAAATTTAATAGATTATAATTAAACTTGTATTGATAAGTTTTATACAATATCGCAAATATTTCCTATTGCAACAAAATTTCTTTCACAAATTACAAACTCTTTGAATTCTAACTTCTTTTCTTTTAAAACATCCGTTGCATTTGATATTTTTACCACCATGCCTAAAGAAATTTCAATTCAAACTACACAACATATTGTATAAGCCTAACACTCTAAAGGCATCAAAAACATGTTTTGGACATATATTTGATCTACTGATCTACTTATAATAATGCCTTCAATTAAAAAGCGAAGAGCTCATAAATCAACATAATAGTCCTCTAATATTATTACTTAACAATGACAGTGAAAAAAAAATAAAATCGGACGTCTATAACATATAGCTCTCATATAACCAATTATTCATAGTTGTCCGATTTTTTTTATTTTCACTGTCATTGTTAAGTATTTTTTAGTTCTGCCAAATTACGTGCTCTTAGCTGAAAAATATATAACTGAATAATCGGTTGTATGGGAGATATGTGATATAGTTGTCCAATCTGGCCGATTCCGACAAATGATTATTTGTATGTCAAAATGCACCTATGTATTAAATTGCATTTGAATTTGTCAAAAACTGACGAAGACATTTTTATAATCCCTCAAAATTAAACTTAACCTAAAAAATCGATGGCTCGAAACCGCAATTCTAGTAAACACGATTTTTTCGTTTTTTGGCTCCCTGTAATTCAACCTGCTCTAATAAGTATATATATATATTATTTTGTATATGTTTTAAAATAATTAATAATTATATAAATAATAAAAATATGTATTAATCAAAAGCAAAAACAATAAAAAATAAGAAAATAAAAATTATAATAATTTAATTTCAAATTGTTTTAATTTTTTATTATCTTCGATTTTTTTTTTAATATAAAATGAGCCCTTTTATGCTTGTACACCTAGTGAATTCTCTATAGTTTATAGACCTTTATAAACGATACTTTCTCTTTGTCAAAAACGCTATGTGGACTTATCTAATCACATCTTCAAAATATTAAAAGGTAAATTTAGTTGCAGTTGCTCTTCAAATCACTGTTGATCTTATACATTTTTACTGCGGACTAAATCTAATTTAATATATGTACATTTGTATATCTATGGAGTTTATATTATACACTTTGAAACGGACAAAATTTAGACACTTAATATGTTTTTATTTTGATTTTATTTCATATACATTTATTCAATTCTAATTAATATTATTTTATATGTTACTAATTGTAACGATATTATTATTGAATTTAAATTTGTAAAATCTTCATTCATTCGTTAAGTCATCAACAAGTTCATTTGATAATTTTTCGAAAAATCACCACACTACACGTGGCTATGTATATTTATACGTATAGATGCGCATGTACAGGTTGGTTGAAAGTGAGTAGTGCTCACCAAAGAAATAGCAATACTAGCCCCAATTTTTTTTTCTCAAGTTGGTGCATCTGTTGTGATATGCGATTTGTTGTGCAAAGTTACAAGTCATTCTGTCAATCAATTCTTTGTTTACAGGCCAATTGAAGTTAACGTGTCAGAGTATTTTTTTAATATGGAAAAAATTTAATATCGTGCAGTGATTAGATTCTTTGTTTTGAAAGGTTTAAAACCTAAAGAAATATATCAGCAATTGTTAGAAGTGTATAGGGAGTCCTCACCTTCAAAACACACTGTTGAATTTTGGACTGGTGAAATTAAACCTGGTCGTACTAGGCTTGAAGACGATCCACGCGAAGGACAACCAAAAACCGCAACTACACCAGACATCATTGAGCAAGTTCATAATATTGTTAGTGAAGATCCAAGTTTGGCTAGGCGTGCAATTACTAATGCCATAGGCATCTCAGACGAACGAGTACTTCATATTTTATATTACATATGAAAAGTCTGTTTAGGAAGTTAGTGCTGCACACGTTAACAATTCAACAAAAACTGGATCGAAAACAAATTTTTCAACATAATTTGGAGCGTTTTAAGCAGAATAAAACCGATTTTTATTGTGGACTGGATCTGTTTGTTCAGCTCCAAAGCAGCTAAAGTCACAACGATCAGCAAAGAAGGTTATGGCATCAGTTTTTTGGGATGCAAAAAAAATTTTGTTGATTTATTACTTGCTGAAAGGTAAAGTAATCAACTCTGTATATTATTGCAGCCTTTAGGATCAGCTCGATGAAAAGATTCGTGAGAAAAGACCTGATTTGCAGCACAAAAAATCATTTTTTATAAAGACAATGCACCTGCTCACAAAGGTGTTTTAACAATGACAAAATTCAATTAATTGAAGTACGAATTGCAAAGCATCCACCGTATTCGCCAGATTTAGATCCCAGCGACTACTACCTTTTCAGAAACCTGAAACCATTCCTTCGTGGAAAGCATTTTTTGTCGAATGAAGAAGCTATAACAGCCATAGACGGGTAGTTTGCAGAGCTTTCGGAAGGTTATTATAGGGATGACATAAAATTATTGGAATAAGTGTATTGAAGTTAAGTTTTGTTACCAAAAACAGTATTTTTTCATTTCGAGCGCAGAAACTTTTCAACAAACCTGTATGTACATATGTAGTAGGCACATACATACATATTTATTATATTTGCCAAAGTTCAGCCATAAGTACATTTTTTGCTAGAGAATATTTTCTGCTTTGTTGTGTGTTTAAAAAAACTCAAAGTTACTCAAGCAATCGTACGTGTAACTGGAAAATGTATGTACATATATACATTCATATGTATTATAACGTGCTACGTCAACCCTATACACAATGGCACACAATAGACTTGAAACAATTAGCGAGTTGATTGGGTCCAATATGTTTGTGTAGCCTACAATATATTTGTTATGACGGTAACTTATAATTTCACAGCTGAGAGATTTAATTTCAACAGCGAATAATTATAATAGATAGAAAATACTGTGGATTCAAATTAAACAATTCGAAAAACCAAAAACAAATCTATAAGTATATATTCGTCATATGTTTAATGGATTTTCATCAAATTAAAAGTCGTATACTTGCACTATACTTAATATACATACAAATAAACATACATCTCTATATGTGAGCCATACATACTTCATATGTAAATGTGTGGATATGCCACATAACTACATATGTGTGCGTGTGGGATATTGAGATTCATTTGTATAAATAGCAACTGCAACACTAAGTGAGCAGCAATACAACTTCCGAAGCCATCAAGATCAAATTGTCACGATTTTTAGCGAATTTACATTTTTTACAAAGTACTTTACCACTTACTCAACAAATATGGCCAAATTCATCCTATTCGCTGCCTTTTGTATATTGAGCGCCGCTGTTTCCAAAGCTGCTTTCAATAAAGAAGAGGCTATAAAGACCTTTATGACCAGAGCGGAGGAGTGCCGTGGCGAAGTAGGTGCCGCTGATTGTGAGTATTAAGATCACTATAGTTTTATATTCATAAGTTATAATTAGGATTGTTTAAAACTCTATTATTATATGGCAGCTGACATTCAGGACATTGTCGCAAAAGTGCCAGCGGCCGGTAAGGAAGGCAAGTGCCTGCGCTCTTGCTTGATGAAAAAATACGGCGCCGTAAGTATTTATTTTACAGGAAAATTGTTATTTCATTTGCAATAACAATATTTATTCGGCGTTCTTCAGATGGATAATAATGGCAAGTTTGTCAAGTCGGTTGCCGATGAGCATGCGCAGACCTACACTGACGGTGATGCCGATAAATTGAAGATAGCTCGTGAAATCATCGACGCTTGCGCCGATATTGCAGTACCAGATGATCATTGCGAGGCAAGTGAATTGTACGGCAAATGCTTTATGGATCAAGCGAAAGCTCGCGGTATTCAAAAATTTGATTTTTAAATAACCTCCTCAAAGGTTTGTAGACGCAACTCGAGCAACTTTTTATTTGATCACCGACCTATTTATGTTTTAGATGTTAGAAATTTTTAGATATGTGTACATGTGTGTATTTTGTGCTTATTTAATTTTAATTTTTGTTTATTAAAGCAATTCAATACTCTGTAAAAGAATGTGTGTGGATTTTATTTACTTTATTGCCACCAAGAATTCTCAAATATCTTTCATTGATTGCATACGTTTTTAATCAGGTGACAACTCTTTCCAAAAAAAATTATCATCCATTAATCTTCCTAAACCTCTTTTCTTTGACATCCATCTTGTATTATCACCTGTAGCAGGTGGTAACCTCTTAAACAAATATCTTAAATTGTAATTTTGTCTTATTTTCAGTTTGAAGTTTTCTTTATTTTAAAAATTTTATATACATACATACCTTTTAACTTTTTTATTTCACACCATCCGAGCACCAAAACTTTCAAAACACCAAAATTTCAAAAAAAAACAGAGAAAATATTAACTTCGATTGCACCGAAGCTAAAATACCCTTCACAAATAAAAAAGTTTTAAATACATTTACAATTTTTAATAGTACCGGTATATGGGGAGTGGGGGGAGGTTGTCACCCGATTTCACCCATTTTCACACTGTAGGTAGAGGTGCTAAAAAAATTTGCTTCCAGTGAATTTTGTTATTATAGCTTCAGCGGTTTAGGAGATATGCACATTAAACCTATTAGAGGGCGGGACCACGCCCACTTTAAAAAAAATTTAACCGCAGATGTCCCTCCCTAATGTGATCCTGTGTACCAAATAACAGTCTTGTATCTTATTGCGGAGCTTAGTTATGGCAATTTATTTGTAAAGGAGAGTTACAAACTGACAGACAGACATACAAGTGAAGCTAATAAAAGCGTGTTTAAAATACGACGAAAAGTTCGTGCCAGCTTTTATACTTATCTAAGTATAACTCTCTCCAACCCTCTCTTCTCTGTAAGAGAAAACTACTAGTTTAACAATTAATTTTTAGCATAGAACATTTTTTATTGCTTCCTGCTGTTTTACTGCTTTTTGAACAAGAAAGTTATGTTCGTTTTTTTACACCTAAAACAATTGTGAAGTATAAGATTTCGGTATTTTATGGATTCTCACCTAGTAAATGATTTTACTATGTAAATATGAAAATATTTCGAAAAGTTTGCATTGTCTCGATTACAAGCTCCCGTGGGATCCACATCACGCAAAACTTTAAAAATAGGATTTAGTCATTTTTTTTTTGTTTCGTTTTGGAAAATATTGTAAAATAAATATTTTATATATTGATATCTCTATTTGAAGTTCATGTATAGCGCGGTACTATGAAACGAAGGAACCTGAGGAAACTTGCTCTCTGTACTGGCTGAATCGAAATTTAAATAGTTTTACTCACAATTTATTAAATAAAAAATTGCTTTTGTAAACCGTCTAATCGTGTTTCTCTTTAATATTTTCAGACTGTAATCATTTGTCAACAGCTATGATATTTATACGCAAGTCTTTGGAAGGTGAGGTCTAGTTACTAATTACTATTGAATACCTATCAATTCTAGTGGTGCCTTGTGGAAATATCGGTCCATATATGGTATAACTGGCACTTAAATCTCTGATTGGTACTCGTAGAGCTTTTAATCTCCTTGACGTGCGCCACAATGGTAAACAGATAAATGGAGAAACCCACATATGATTAAATCGACTATAAACGGCTCATGGTTTTTAAAAGAAGTATTTTGATCTCAGTTTGACATGGCATGTTGAGAGGCGACTACTAAAAAATTTGTATATGTTAATAAGGACGGAGTTCGAATCCGAGTGTAAAACACAGGGAGACCGACAAAAACTTAGTTCAATAACTTTATAGTTTTATTTACATATTGCCTCTACCTATATTCTCATGTAAGTATATTTATATACGTATATGTATAAATACTTGATTTAGTATGTACTTATTTTTGAATGACGTTATATGTGTGAATTCTAGGCATCCATACAAGTATTTACACACTTCTTCCATACTATTTAATAGTAAAATGTAATTATTTCGATAAGAATCTTAATTGAACAGCGTGCCCAAACAAATGACTGGTCAGAAGTAAAACGTATTAAATTCTCACATGATTTGTTTTTTTTCTCATACTCACAGTGTTTCGTGTTATCGAGAAAAATTACTTTAATTTTTTTAATTTTGCACATCTTTTTAAAAAAAATGCTTAGTGAATTTATTTAATACTAGCTGACCCGGCGAACTTTGTACCGCCATAGCATAGCTTTGATGCACTACTTTATTTTGTATAGTTGTAAGTTGTCCTATCTTAGGTATGAGTACTACTTGTATTCAATTTAAACTGGAATCTATAATATCCTCCATATAAAAATGAATCCCTATTTCCCTGGTCTCGCCATACCTGAGAAGGCGATAGAATTTAATTAAGTAACCACATTTCCGAACAAACGATGCAACGAATGACGAAATATGCAAAATGAAATGTATTTTTTCAATCTTTCTGAGACATTTTCGTAATATTTTTTTCCGTAAGAACCTTCTACAGAGTATTAGAAATCTACCAAAAAAACCAGCCAAATCGGTCTAGCCGTTCTCAAGTTATGGCGTGACAACGGGAAACGGGTTTCATTTATATATATATAGATAAAAAAAAATGTAGACTAATAAATTTCAAAAAGAAATTTATATACCTATAATAATAAAAATTGCCTGTAATATATATATGTTTCTTCCTAAAGTTTGTTGGCTATCGCCAACATATAACAAATAATTTTGTCTTTTGCCTCAAAATTGGCCTCAGTTTCAGTGATGACCTGTTCATTCGAGCGAAATTTCTTACCGGCGAGCATTTTTTGAGGTCTGCGAACAACCAATCATCAACACGTTGCTGTTTTTGGTCAACAGTCAGCAAACGCGGCACCCACTTTGAACAGAGCTTTCTTATGGACAAATGCTCATGCAATATAAAGCCAACACGGTCTTTTGAAATCCTTACGATGCCAGCTATATCACGCAACTTAACTTTCCGATCATTCAGTACGATTTTGCAGATTTTTTTTGTGTTTTCTGGTCTCACACTGTTTTGCATCATTAGTGTCTCTACGACCATTCTGATGGTGCTGAATCCCTATAACATTTTTTAAGCCATTGCTTCGCTTTTTTTTATTCGGTATTTTTTCCCATCAAGAAGCAGTGTAAAATTAAAACACGAAATTGTTTATCATGTATTGTTTTTAAAATAACAAAAGTAGCGTCACTCTAGGCACAATAACTCGCAAACTAATGAATAGAATGTCATGCAATTTTAATAGCTGTCTTTTGAAGATTAGTACTAACTGAAAATGCGTCATCTATGTGTAAGGCCCCGTCATTTTCAGCCCATATTAAGTTTGTCACGAAGTTTGTAACGCCCAGAAGGAAACGCCAGAGACCCTTTAAAATGTATATATCATATAAGTGATCAGCGTGACGAGCTGAGTCGCGTCTGTATATACGCGATTTAGTCCCTCAGTTTTTGAGATATTGCTCTGAAATTTTGCACACATCCTATTCACCCCAAGAATCTGCTCATTGGTCGGAAGTGATATCGGACTACCAAAACATATAGCTGCCATACAAACTGGCACGGATTATTATCCAAGGCAATGCTACATGAGCATAACAAATTGTTGGGATCAGACCACTGTACCATAGCATATAGCTGCCGTACAAATCGAGCGATTCTTGTGTCGAAACTTTTTTATTTGTGAAGGTTATTCTACCTTCGGTGCAACTGAAGGTAACTTTTCCACTTTCCAAGTTTTAGTTAATCGAAATCTGTTATTTACAATCTTCTTCAGAAACGAATATCTGGAAACATTAATTAAAATGTTCATATTTTATTTGAAGGGTTATGAAGTAGTGCTATCCTATTTAAGCGCTCATTGAAGAAAATAATGTTAAATTGAATGAGCGGTAATGTAAAAACCCGGGCATATACTCTTTGGATATGTGAAAAAAAAAATGTTCGAGGTCAAAGATCAACATTTTTTTTGCTCTATATATTAAACACGATCTCTCTTAAGAAAAAAATATTCATACATTTTTATACTCATGCAACATGTTGCTACAGAATATAATAGTTTTGTTCACCTAACGGTTGTATGTATGTATCACCTAAAACTAATTGAGATAGATTTAGGGTTATGTAATTCCAAATGATCAGGATGACGAGCGGAGTAGAAATCCGGGCGACTGTCTGTCCGTCTGTCCGTGCAAGCTGTAACATAAATAAAAATTAAGATATCTTGATGAAACTTGGTACACATGATTGTTGTCACCATAAGAAGTATTGTACATGGACGTAATCCGACAACTACCGCGCCCACAAAATGGCATTATTCGAAAATGTTCGGTTACACCCGAAATAAGCCCTTCCTTTCTTGTACATAGATAATTATATGATTTTCAATTTTCGTCTAATGTATTTTTGGTACAACTTAACATTTCGTTGAAAACCTCGAAAAAAAACAATTTTTTTTACCTTTGACCAACAAAAGCAGCTAATACCATCCCACACATAGTGGATATTATCGGCAGGTGCATTGCTGCGAAGGTCGTTCTAAGGCTCAGGGAACCAGGTATAGGAAGGGGTCCAAACAGGGTCCCGCTGAAATTCTCTCCTCCTTTAAGGCGATCCATGTTTCTCTGCTCATAGAACCACGGATATACTTGTAAGTACAATAGTTGGTAAAGAGGCGCAGTGTGCTGTTTTACGGATGGGTTGAAGCTAGGAGGGAAGGTTGGAGGACGAGTTTTCTATAAAGAGCTATCAGTCAAGCTTAGCGTCAGGCTAACGGACTACTCTAGTGTTTTTCCGGTAGAAGTGACTGCTACTAACGTAGCAGCAGACCTACTGTTCCGAGGTGCAGCTTCTTTCAGGGAGGTAAGCATTCAATCCGACAGCAAAGCGGTAATACTAGTGTTGTGCTCGCAAACTATGCGCTCAAAGTTAGTCAAGGAGTGTCTTTCCTCACTAGATTTAGCATCAAGCTTCTTCATTATCTGACTCGTTTGAGTGCTCGGTCACAGCGGAATCGCTGGAAACTATAAATCCGATGAGATCGTAAGAGGCGCACCCTTTCCCGATCACATC